TATATATATATATATATTGTGTTCTTTGGTGGCTGCACTTTTCCAAATTTCGATGACGATAGACCAGTCGTGCGCAGTTACTGCCTGCTCATATCTGTACTGCTGAGGTGTCATCACGACAAAGAATGTGGGGTAGCCGTTTTTTAGTATTTATTGGATTGCCAGAGGCTATCGTATGTTATTTTGAGAAAACCGGAGACTATCGAATGGAGGATGCTCATCTTATATCCATATCGTCGCTATCGCATACATGCACACTCCTGAATGGTTGAATATCACCGCGGCGAGTGTGAAACGAGTTACGTAGACGTTATTCGTCTTACGTACCATGAAGTACTTTGTCACCGGGTTTTTAGGGTTTTAGTGTTTTTAGTAGAGTTTATTATGTTCGAGGTCTGCCTAGTAGAAAGGGTTTGGCGGTAGTGCAGCGAGTGTGTGGGTGGATCACTTTTGTCACTCTTTGCATAGTCAGGTCGACCCACTCATTGTTTGTGCTAGGATGGGGGGTACGCAGGATATAGTATGCACTCTTTATATGATATTTAACCCCCCTAAAAGGATATAGTATGCACTTTTTATATGATATAAAACCCCCCTAAAATGATATAGTATGTACTCTTTGTATGGTATTAACCCCCCTAAAAGGATGCAGTATGTACTCTTTGTAAGATCTCTAACCCCCCTAAAAGGATATAGTATGTACTCTTTGTATGGTATTAACCCCCCTAAAGGATATAGTATGTACTCTTTGTATGGTATTAACCCCCCTAAAAGGATGTAGTATGCACTCTTTGTAAGATCTCTAACCCCCCCTAGAACGATATAGTATGTACTCTTTGTATGGTATTTAGCCCCCCTATTAGGATATAGTATGTACTCTTTGTATGGTAATAAATCCCCCTAAGAGGATATAGTTGCACTCTTTATGTGATATTTAACCCCTCTGAAAGGATATAGTATGTACTCTTTGGTATTAACCCCCCCCTAAAAGGATATAGTATGCACTCTTTATATGATATTTGACCCCTCTGAAAGGATATAGTATGTACTCTTTGTATGGTGTTATACCCCCCTAAAAGGATATAGTATGCACTCTTTATATGATATTTATCCCCTCTGAAAGGATATAGTATGTACTCTTTTTATGGTATTGAACCCCCCTAAAAGGATTCAGTATTCACTCTTTGTATGATATTTAACCCCATTATATACTTCTGGAAAACAAGAATTATACTGGCACAAACCTCTATACCTACTATTACGTTTACACCCCAGAAACCAGTTATGCTGACACTATTCTCTATACGTACTATTACGTTCGCGCAACTCAAACGTATACGGACACTAACCTTTCTACCTACTATTGCCTTTGACTTCAGAAACACGAGGGTAAGCGAGTGCTGGAGTGTTTACAAAAGGGTCTGAAGATCGCCGACTCGTGCATGGAACCCGCCACCAACGTGCAGCTATTTATAGAAATTCTGGACCGGTACATATACTACTTCGATCATCAGAATCCATTTGTAAGTTAAATATGTGTGTCCTTCGATACTATTGCGAGCATGTGTATCTCTTGATTTGTAGTGTGAAGACGCACTCGGTAGTTGGGTAGCGAGTGGCTCGTTGCTTGGTAACCAAGTAGGGTTCATTTGATTGGTGGAGGTTATATTGTCCCGCATGTCTGTTATTAGACTCTTACAGTTTTAAGTATCTCTGCCATCCAAGGAACCTAAATTTAGTGATACAATTCTATTTTTTCCTAAACGTAGCGATTGAATTCTATTTTTTTCCTAAATGTAGCGATTCAATACACCTTTTTCCCTAAATGTAGCGATTCAGTCGTGGTTATACCTCGCTGGTTTTAATGTACTCTACGCTTTCCTACCACAATGGCCTCTTATAACACATTCAGGTGACTGTAAAGTACCTCACTGGTTTTGATGTACTCTACGCTTACCTACCACAATGTCCTCTAATAACACATTTAGGTGACTGTAAAGTACCTCCCTGGTTTTAATGTACTCTACGCTTACCTACCACAATGGCCTCTTATAACACATTCAATGGCCTCTTATAACACATTCAATGGCCTCTTATAACACATTCAGGTGACTGTAAAGTACCTCACTGGACTGATCGACCTGATCGATGGCAACCTGGACAGTGTGGACGAGGAAGAGCCGCACGCACAGATGCAGAAGCACTTCACCAATTCTTTAGACTTCCTGCGCCAACAGAAGGAAGCTGCTGTGCATGAGGGATATAAGGAACTAGACTTATAGGAACCCAAGTGATATGCTCAAGAGTGTACATATATTGCAATAAAGAGATGGATGTGATAACTATCGGATACAACAGGACGTTATACCGTTAAAGTCCCGCTATGCTCAGTCCTTTGTGGACTACTGAGATTTCAGAATGGTGACCCAAAATATACTCAACACCCCGGTGTTGCACATAGCACGCATAACTTTTGAATTTGATGTAATTCTGGTATTTAGATTCACCGATCCAACTAAAACTGAACTGCAGATTAGGCATGTGGATCTGCAAAATGTATGATATTGGGGTCACGGGCCAACATGCGTGTACACATACAAATTCCTGTCAAGGAATCTCGATGCCGATATATTTGTTGCGTATATGTCCTGGACCATGTTTATGATATTTGGTTAAGATGTCATAGACCATATTTATGATATTTGGTTAACATGTCATAGACCGTGTTTATAATATTTAGTTAACATGTCATAGACCATGTTTATGATATTTAGTTAACATGATTTATTCCCGTAGGAGCAACCTCTCTAAAGGAGCGAGATTATCGTAGTTGAAGATGATCGAGAGATGATGGGTCTACCTGCCGTGGGCAGTATTGTGCCATATCATCATCTGTTCGATGCATTTAATATAAACGGCTATTAGCTTGTGGATACCGATCATGTGTTTTTAACTATTCGTCACCATCATCACTGGTATCACAGGCACTTGCATCCGTGCAAGATTCACTCCTTGACAGGCAGACTCCCTCGCACACACTGAACGAGGTCGCGCTCAAGAAATTCACTGACAGTGTAGCTCCTGTTTGGCGCATTTGCCACAGAGATTGGCTCAAGTGTTTATCTATGCAATCGCATCGCCTGTACATGTGCATTTCGTTGCGTTTGTATCGTCGTAGTTCCTTGATGATCTGAAGCAGATGGCAGTAGTCGTAGGTCGGTGAACAGGCCGATCTGTCGTAGTCGGCAGGGCTGATTGCCGCTGCTACAATGACAATCTCGTTGAAGTGAATGTTTCTGGACGAGACTGTGCGCTCACACCATGTTCCACTGTCACTCGCGCTTTTCTTTTGTTGAATCCTATTCATGTTTGGAAACTACCTGATAGTCGTGTAACGTAATTATTAAACTTTGAGCTGTATGTGCACTTGCGTTCTGGATATATAAACGTATGTTCAAATCGTAAAAAAACCCCCATATAATTGACCGCCGTCTACCATTGCGCAAGTCTGATCTATAGTATTATGGCATACCTACTCTACTCTTCTGTTAGCGAAGTATATCGGTCCCTATGCTGCGGATAGTCCGATATTGAGGGGACAGAAATTGCACAGGATAAACCGATTGCTGTGTGGCTAAGATTTCCGCAAGGATTCTCAAACGTATTCCCATTGGTTGCATCTGTGGAAACAATCATATATCAGGAGTAAAACAAAAGCTAAATATAGGATTATAGAGTATATGCGATCACAATGTTAAAAAAAATATGATTAAGGCATCCTTGTGGACCTAGAATTTATTAGTATTTACGGTCGTACATACATACATTTAATCGTCTACACTCGCTAGTCATCGTCTACGAATTTATATTACACTCGACAGTCGACAGTCTTAAGTCTACAGTCTAAAATAGTAAACACCGACGCGAGTCTATGTCTCACTCTAGAGTTCAAAATTAGCAAATACATACAGTCTACAATATTTATGTCTCTACACTTCACAATTATCAATTCTGCGCCCAGAGCTGGAAAGGCTCTGAACAGTATACTTGATTTCGTTTTAAGGAGCGGCAGCCATTTCAAATCCCAACAATGTCACATGTTAGCAACGGGGCTGACAGTGTTGACACAACATATCAATGGTATGCCGATGCCAATCTGAATAGACATTGCGCTCGAAAATTTAAATGTATCATATTCACTCCACAACGATATTCAATTAAGACGCCAAAATAGCATACTGGCGTGTACTCTATCGAGCTACAAGGGCCATGTGAGCCTTGCCTTGTTGTAACACTACCAAGCCTATCTGTTTGTTGTAGAATTACGATACTGATAATTAGTAATACGAGGAAATGACTAGACATTCCATTGCTCGTTTTTAAATATGGACGACGTGTTGAGAAGCGCACCTAAAATATCCCGTCCGGAGACGGCAATAGAAATTTACGGTGTATAAAATACCGTTGAACTGAAGTAAATAGCGCATCACTAATCAGTATTAATTGTTACCAGCCTGTACGACAGATACTTTGGTTTATTCAAACGATTGGAGGGCGATTTTTGTCGATCAGATGCAAGCTTCCCTTTAGTCATCAGCTTCCCTGATATTGTCTTCAGAATAACGGCCACGCAGATATCCGATACTATGCGTTTGTATATGCTTGACGTGTCTGTGCAAGTAAACTATCCTTGTTCAAATCATTTTTGTATGTGTTTACCCGGACTTTGAAGAATGAACTCAAAATCCTTTTTATGATGTACCAACCGATTTATTCGTTGTGGTACAATCCATTCTATTCATATCTTCTTATTGAAAGGATACTATACTAATGTATGACACATACTCAGTATGTATATTTGAAGTGTAGCTGTCTGGTTCAATTCTTAGTGTGCACTCATGTCACTACTTTGTACTAATATCGAGAAGAATCGAAACAAGTCCTTTCATATACGATATCAATCGTTGTGGGATCGCGGACGAACAAACCAATGATGCTGCTATCATATTCCGAGCAGAGTGCCCGCAGCATATCATGTTATCGCAAAGTTGAGTAGCTTGGCTTAATAAATGTCCAATTTTGTATTCTATATCTCTGTACGTGCAGACTAGGTTCGAAAGAATCGATTTCTGATTTAAAGTATGATTTGAAGTGTGTTTGGTGAAATTTCCCCAGGTTCCTTTCCTAAAAGGATATGTCTGTTCTGTTCATACAGATATTGCAGTCTCATGTATCTGCATATACAAATTATAATAGGTTAATATAAATGTGCATTTATTTAATATTTCTCTGTAAAAGTACACGATTCTCGTCCAAATCACCAGTAGCGGATGATCTCAAACGGACATATCCCTCATCAGAACACTATATAATGGGTCACTGCGCCCGTAGCTGACGAAGAACACTTCCAACGACACATGCGAAACCTCAATCAGCGCGATACGCATTGCTTCACATATCCACTCCGGTTTATTACCAAAGACACCACCGCCTATGGCCGTTAAGTACACACGTGTACACCCAGTCTTTTCGTAGTTCTCTACGGCAACTAATAGGGTCAGTCTGTAAGCAGCTCCCAAGAACACCATCGCAAAGTCTTTCCAATAGTTGGATCGTCTCAGATTATTGTGCTATGCGATTGGGATGGCACTACACAGTGCCAGTGTGCACGTGTGAACACTGTTGACTACTTGTGTGCCCCAGTGGACTCCAATGCGCATGTATTTCTGGTAATCTGAAGATCCTGAAGGAGAAGTGACAATAAGCTTCGTTATTTGTCTCAGCGAATCCTCATCTTTGCTAAACAGATACCCATTAATGTATGTGTAATTGATGCGCGAGCCCAAGTCAGATACACTGTGGTCAAAGATTAATCTGAGTTTTTAGTTGTCCCTGACCAGTACCGGTCTCAAGCGTACCTGTACCATCTACCTTTGTATTGTCGGATACAACATTAGCGAAGTAGTTCCTGAAGAGTGTACCATAAGGTGTTTGCATAGCACATACTGGCCCTTGGGTGCGATCATAGTAGTAGATAGATATGCCGTTAGTTGGAGTAGTATCAGGATCTGCCATTTCCAACAGGTTGAACTGCGAAGCGACTTGCACCACTGCGTCTTTAGATTGTTTCGGGTCGGAGAAGATATTGTTCATGTTGGCAACTATCTCCACGCATTTGATCCGACGAGTTTTTGTGATCGTAGTATCAGATTCAACGAACCAGCGCGTTCTGCTTCTCTTGCCGACCAAGCTTGCGGTGCTTTCGCTTCTCAGCCGTCTCATCACTTCATCTATTGTCGGTGTTTCTAATCGGCCTATCAGGAATTTGCCGGTGGGAACTTTGATGTGACTATAACCTTTCGCGTCCGTTTGCACCTTTATTTTTACTTCAGGACTATTGATGTCCTCTTCTGTGAAGCCAAAGACATTTTTTAAACCATTTAACCATTTCGATCAACACACACTGGACTCTGGAGTACCTTGCTATGTATATCTAATGCGTGTAACGCAATTATCTATACCGCCTCACATTTGACAGATCCGCGCTTATTGACCCTGCCAGAAGTGTATATAAATATATTTGGCTCAGATCCTCGAACGATTCAGAGGCTCAATCCATAGTAATATTTATCAATAAATATTTAAAAACAAAAAAAACAAAATACATATGGATTGCAAATTAATATGTAAATAAATAAATACATAGATGGCTATTATAAGAATAATGTAAAATCAGTGGCTTCGAATTTTTTTTTCACAGTTTCATTCCATTTTCGGCTTTCCAAAATTTCAGCCTTCACTCTGTCCATAAATAATAAATATTGTCATAAAATAAATACTCCAGAGCCTCCTGAAATAATGAATAATCCAATAATTACACTCTGTCGGCTGTCCAGCACCATTTTTTAAATTGTTTTGGTAAAAAAAGCAAAACCCAAATCCCTGGAATTTTGGATATTTTCAAGGATTTTTACGGAATATGTAGTAAAATATGAAGTATTTCTGAATATACGGATTTATAAATGGAATGTAGAAAAGGTACGTAAATATATGGGTCGAGGGTTTTAGGGTTTAGGGTTTAAAAACCCTAAAACCCTAAAACCCTTTTGAGTTCTAATTTTATAATTGATATCAAACGGAATAAATGTATTTACGAGTATTTATGTAAATACTGAATTTAATATTTACATATCCAAATACGGGATAAATATAAATGTGTGTAAATTGTCAATTTAGAGGGCTCTATGTGTAAATTACTAAATAAACGACATATTTTTATACAAAAAAACCCCGAAATACTGTTTCATTTAGAAGGCTATGGAAATACCAACATCAAGCGCGCTATTGCAAAAATCCAATCAGAACTACATTATTAGTAAATAGCCTAGATATCTTTTGGTTGCGATTTTTTTTTTTTTAAGCAAAAAATACAAAAAAGAACAAACAATGTGAAGCCTAGGCTTTGCAAAACATTCACATTTATGATTATGATGTGTTGTAATAGTATTTATTTGGTTGTGTAGAGAGTGGGTGAAGTTGAAGCCTGGAATACTTTATATTGTGTTATGTATTATTCACATGATCTGTTTAACCGTCAAAGCTGAATCTTGAATCTGAAATGCATGTGTGCCAACTACCCGGTTTTTAATTATCTACAAAATCCAACACAACCATCCCGTGCGATGTCTCCCAATTCCAATACGTATTGTGTTCGTCGTTTGAATGTCACAGACATTCACAGACATCTTAACTTGCAGTACTCGCTGCGATCGTCGGCCAGAGTTAAGTACACGTGGTGCTGTATTAGCTGGTCCCATCGATTATATAACACATTCTACAGTCTTTTATCGAGCTTTCCAGGCTATGCTACTGCGCAGGAACGATTTGTGGATGTAACCCATCACATCCAGGTGTGAATTAAAAGTTATATCTGTTACTCGCATGTAGAAAATTAGTTTATATGATTCGTTTCTTCAGAATAATTGGTTTAATTAGGGAAGGTCCACGCAAATCATATCTGAGACGCTTAGCCTTTATCATTTGGACTGCTGCACGCATAGTCTGTTTAATTAGGGCTGATGAACCCTTAATCTGTCAAATTTGGACACCTACACGCACAGTCTGTTTAATTAGGACTTGTTCGCCCTTAATCTGCTCAATTAGGACTGGTGCACTCTTTTAAAATTTATTAGGACTGGTTTACCCTTAATCTGTTCAATTAGGACTGGTACACGCTGATGACATCTGTGCCGTCCGTTAATCCATTCACCAGCACTACATTGTGCAACCCCTCGGTGAGTTCGTTGACTAGTGTGAGATAGCCACTGGGATTGATAGCGGACTCGTCCGTCGGCACCTACACCGCAGAGTTGTAGATAGAATATTATTGCAGGGTTTAGGGTGAATGAGGGTCATGGTAATCAGTCTATTCGCAAAAGGTATCAAACAATATATGCAGAAGTATATACATACATATACAATATGTGGCATACACTCATGTACGTGTGCGTGTACACACACACACACACACACACACACACACATATATATATATATATATCGCATTGCTTACCGGGAGATTCATAATAACCAGACGAGCGTTACTGCTTTCTGTGTGCATGGCCTGTTTGAGCCCTGGTGCGGTGAAGAGGTTCTTCTTTTGTTTGCCGTCGCTACTGGTCTTACCACTTTCTTGGGATGTCCGGGAGGTTTCACGCATGGGCACTTCGACGCCTTCCTCCGGTATGTGCTCACTATTGATTTGAGAGGAAGGACATTGGAGACAAATTGTCTTTAACACAGAGATAAATTTAACAATAAAATTTAAATAACACGAAGGTATATTCTCACTGTACATTCGAGGTGGTAGGATTTGGTAGGGGTGCGATAGACGACACTGTTTTAGAGCGGCACTACATACTACGACACACATACTACGACACAACTGACGTCCATCACCATGAGCCACACGCCAAGCGTAGACACCTTGAGCTATAATGTCATTTGGATTAATCATAATTACACGATATATGAATATATATATATATCTATATTTATATATATATATATATCTATATATATATATATATATATAAATGCATGATATGAACGCAGGGTATCTATAAATATCTCATAAAGATATCTGTAAATAGCTCAAAAGGGTTTCTACAAATACCTTGCAAGATCCGCGAATGTGTCCGTACACAAACAACAACGACGACAACCCCACACCAAACGCATCAACACACCAGTAAACGCACACGTGCACCTCCAACACATCACCTACCCCTCTGCCAGCTTGTTCGTGCTGAACCCCTTGGAGGTCCGGGCAGCTAGAGACTCGGCGGCTTTCCTTAGTCGCGAAAAGGCCCTGAGGCGACTGGTAGAGCCCTTTGCGTTGTCGTACGATGCAGTGCTTTTACGACTGTTCTCTGTGGCATCGTGTGTGTGTGTGTTGGAGTGGCTGGAGTCTGTGCTGGTGACGGTGTTGGCCCGGGTGCGTACGGGTGAGTTGGGTGTACTGGCGCTGGCGTCGTAGAAGTGTGGTACTATTCCTTCGGCAATGGGTTCGGTGGTGATGTCCTTACCTACCAGCAGAGCCTCGGACGACATGCTGAGTCGTAAACTCTCCTTTCGTTTGTCTTTTATTACCTGTAGTGCGGGGTACAAGGGGTGAAGAGGGGCGCGTCAGGTGCTGTAGAGGGTGCACTGTGTCGTAAATTCTCTTTGCGGGTGTCTTTATTACCTACTACTGGCGATACAACGGGTGAGAATGGATACACGTGGTGTGAATAATTTACTGTGTCACAAACTCTCACTACAGATATATATAACATTTTGACATAAATAACTATATTGACATATAGAACAATTGGGCGTATACATCTTTTACATCCATAACAATAGATGTATATAATCATTTTGACATATATGTCAATATAGTTATATATCCAAAGATATATTATTTCGACATATATATCTAACAATTTATATATGTATATATATATATATATATATATATCTATTTTGACATATATAGCTGTCTTGACATTTAAGCTGGCCTAGGGTGCGCTCACCTGTGCGTCTGATTCGCCAGATGCCATGTGGTCTGTTCTCTGCGTCCTTCGTTCGCTTGTTTTCAGGTCAATCTCCTCCAACGAGTCTTTCCCGTACTCGGTCCTCTTAGAGTCAGTGTGTGTATGTGTATTGTGTGGTGGTGCCTGTGCTTGTGTTTGTGCTTGTGTAGGTATATCTATATCTGAGCGTGTCTGTGTCTGTATCTGTGGAGTGTTGGGTTGCAATCTCTGCCTCTCTCCCTTGGTATCACTTTTGTCGTCCGTTGCATCGCTACGCTTCTGTTCCGCAGGACTTACACGGTAACGGGAGCCCGGGGTTGTTTTGCCCAGGTACGATTGAGGTTTCCTACTGTCATTGTTGCTGTCTGTGATATCCGCACTGGTTAAAAACCAGGTTTAGGCAAGAAAAAAAAAATTGAAGTTTAGCCAAAAGTTACTATGATCCGTGGTAAACTTGTGCAATTAAAGGGCAATGGCGATGGGGAGAAGTAAACAAAGAGTCATGAAAATGACTACACATACACTTGATCAATCAAACATGGGGTCACAAATATGACTACAGCATACACTTTAAATCCGAGCAAAGAACAATATCGCAAACAAATACATACAGTGAGCACAAACACAAGACGTATACACAAACAAATATATATAAAGTCTGCACGCTTCCTGGCATACCCTATGCATAGTCAGTTAATATTAGTATAGTAAATTCCCTATAAATACGGAACTACGACTCCAAATAAGTTTACTCAACTATCGGGACATTACAAGTACATTAATAACTAAACAGGACTCATACACGCAAATAGACACAACGGCACTCGTATCCACCGACAAACGATCCCTGCAGCACACGCACCTATGGTAGCGCTTGGCCGAAATGCTCGTGTCTACATCCAACGTGCTATCGTCGCTGTCATCTCCCAGAAGAAACCCTTGGCTCTTGCTTTCTTCTGGAGGCGCTATACTAATGCCTGCGGGTTAGGGCGTGGGTGTGCGGAAATGAGGTTGGCGTGTGGAATTAGTTGGCGTGTGGTTCAAGTGGGATAAACTTAATAATACATACATACATACATACATACACACACACACATATATATATATATACATGCGAGGGTACTATTCTGCACTACTGACCTTTCCAAAGGCCTTCTATTGACTGCTTCAATGGCCCGGCAGTATCTGTGTCACCCGTAATCTTAGTGTATGCGCTTCGCTGTCCTGAACTACTCTGCTGCCCACTGGGGACACTTGATGGCGATGATCCCATTGGCACACCCGTCAGCTGATCCACACACGACGGGAACATTGAGGCACCACCCCTCCTGCAGAAGGCAAGGTATCCATGCGAGATGAGGGGGTGTGTAGGTAGTGCATTTGCATATTTATGTGCCAGCATTATATATATATATATATATATATATATATATGTGTGTGTTAGAGTGGACCGCCCTCTTCAATGTAGGTTAAAGTGTCATTGTTTCAAAGTAAAAATATTCTCTTGCTTTCTATATCTAAACAACTACCAACTCGTGCCGGGCAGCATAAACAATCAGGTTCGTACCTACACACACTCATACACATGCGCCTGTGTCTTGATTTTCGTCTTGCGATAGCAACGCATCAATGAGAGATCGCATGAAGTAACACACATCTACTTCTGAGTACATCGAGTAGGTGTGTCGGTTATGTCCGCATGCGTGTTGAGGGGTGTATATGTGTGTCTTGCTAGTATGTGTGGATGCACCGTATGCTTATTTGTATATCTGGCATGAACGTTGTCTACGAACGCAATTGAGACAAGCAAGGTGGTAGCCATTTCTCAGTATACTCACCATTACACCTACCTACATTACGTACCTAAAGGTACACGCACCACTCAGACTCAACTGGTACTAAAAATTGATACATCATAACGAAGCGGGCACGATACTCAAAAGCATGCCTATGCCTGGTGTGGTAGGCAAAAGACACGCCTTGATCGCTATATATATATATATATAAATATATTGAGTGACCCAGAAAACTCACCCTCTGAGCCGCATGGCGGCAGCATTGCTCTGATTGCGGGCGATAGTCATCTGATTTGTGAAGGGATTGAGTTCTTCGGTAGTAATTTCGATCACTTTCACCTCGGCTTTGATTCTAAATAAATCAATAAAAAATAGTGAGACGAAGGCAGCCTCACAGAGTGAGTCTAATCCAGTCTGTAGCTATGACACCCACCACCACGTGGAGAAACTAATACAATACACACACATACTAACCTCAAATATATCAGCTACACATACTCACTCGCCCACATACCTGAGTTCTCGCAGAAACGCTCTGAGCTGCTGTTCAATCAGAACCGAATTGGCGGTGACGTCGGCCACCGTAAACAGGCGCAGCTTACAGCCCTTCCAGGACTTGTGCTGCGTCAAGAGGAAGGACACCAGCAATAGCATACCGCCCTCCTGCAGCACCCACCACAGGTCCATTGTACCCGTAACCTGGGTGCAGGGCGTGCAAAACAGGACAGGACAAAACAGAACAGCCCGGGATGAGACGTGGTCCGGGTATGACAGAGGGCAAAAAGAAACCCAACCCAAAGGAAACGGGACGCTGTCCAAAAATGGGAGTGTAGTACTGTGTCATAGCCTTCTTACAAATGGCTGATTTAGGGTTTTAGGGTTTAAGGAGAGTGTAAGGATGGGTGTGTGATTGCTTTCGTACTACCCTTAAAACTAAACTAGTTTAAGGAGAGACTAGTTTAGGGTTCCAGGGTTTAGAGATTTAGGAGAGTGTAGATCTCGGTGAGTCAGCCTGTTTTGAAATAACTGGTTTAGGGTTCCAGGGTTTAGGGATTTAGAGATTTAGGAGAGTGTAGATCTCGGTGAGTCAGCCTGTTTTGAAATAACTGGTTTAGGGTTTTAGAGGTATGGGCATTAAAAGCACAACGAACCGCCAATTCTGTGCAGGTACTTCAAAGTACGTGGCCTGTGATGTTGCCACGCTGAGTATGCACAAGCACAGGTAAGCCCTAAACCCCTACACTCTAAAGCCCTACAACCCTAACCCCCCCCAAACCCTAAAACTCACATTGTAAGGACACCAATGGAGCCGCACCCATGACTAGAATACTATACTATAGGCCCAACCCAACCCTTACACGCTCCAATCATCTGTCATGTAGGTAGAGACTGGATGCTGGCTGCTTCACACCCACATAGAACATATAACATACAACATATAACATATAACATGTAACATATAACATACCCTCTCCGATGGCTCGGGGAAGCTGTTACCGTGTTTGAGGAAGATGCATGCACGGGACGACGCGCGAGTCAGAGACACCAGACTGACTACGTAGCTGGCCTTAGCCGGAGTGTTGAGTCTAGGCCAACCTATAGTAGGTAGGCAGGTAGGCAGGTAGGCAGGATTAGTGTAGGTAGGTGTAGCTGGATTTGGGGGTAGGCTTGACAGGGACGAAGATCTGGGGCGGGAGACCGCAGATTGATCACGAAACTGCCAAATGGGTGGGATGTATTCATACGATTGCATACACACATACGTGTGTATATACCTACATACATAGAAATGACAGATATATACATATGCATAAATATATACACATATGCATAAATACGTACGTACATAGGTACATACATGCATAGATGTACACATACATACATATATATTTGCATACATATATATTTGCATACATACATTATCTATATATATATATATACATATATATAAATATAATAGCCACGTACAGTCACGCCATTCCATTGGTAGATTTCAACAATCAGCATTATGTACCTTAACAGCAGGACTATATAGATCACGCACTTACCAGCAATGATGGTGTTGGGACGCAATGAACCTACGCCAGCTGTTTGTATGAGAATGTTGGCGCCCACTTCAGTGTCTTTGGCCACAACCACTTCAGCTAAGCCATTGATCTTGGAATCCTGCATGGCACCCTGCAGCAATACCTAAAGACAGATATAACCAGCGGAGATTAGCATCCTATGTTAATTATACACATATACGAATAG